CATGAGTGATTCAAGCTCCCGATCGATGCGCGATTGGTGAATTATCTCCATCATCACTGTGCAATCCAATGGAGCTTCGGCCTACGTTGGGTGGCGGTGGGCGAAGACACGAATATATACCAGTACACTGCAGGTATTTATATATTGAGAGGCCACTTTAGCTCCAGTCGGGAGACGTTGTGAAATCCAAGGAAGAACAAGAAACGCGTTGATGAAGAACAACTCGACAAGCAAAACGCGCGACAAGCCAGGAGCGCCATCCTTCTTGTATTATAAGCGATCGCGCCCACAATTCCAGAAACGCAGATAATTATTTTAAAATAATAGATTGCTTGTCGTCTTATCGCAAAACTACGTGCTCCTGTCTATCGCTTGCTCGAAACCAATTATAAATGCTCTCACACATCCTAGTAACTTAGAGAAAACAGACGGGAAGTTGCATTCGATCGGAAATATGAGGAGAAGTCACCAATGAATTCAAAGTTTAATTAATTTGCGTAATAATCGTTGGAGGGTTAAGATTTTTTCCTGGTTTGGATGATGTCGAGGAAATATGCCTATTTGGGAATGTCAAATATTTTTTTGGTCCAAGGGAATGTCAAATATGAACGAATGCAAAACTGGACAAGAATATGGACATAAATGGCAAGAAATGAGATGGTTACCTGGGGGAAAAGCTCACAGCAGATGCAAAATTCAAGGAATATAGAGAGAGGTGAGAGTAGACAAAATCTGAATGTCTATGTTTGGCAGTGGGTTGAAGGTACACTCAGAAATCACAATTACGAGTTTCCACATGTAAGCCGAAAAACAAGGAGACGGGTGGGGGCGTGATTAACTATACATAAAAGAGAGAGAAGGCTGGCTGCGTCAATGTTGGGAAAGCAAATATAAATAGCACCGTCGATGGTAGGCTCGAGGCTTTGTGAAGCCGGTGGACGGAGGAGAGAGAAGGCTACTTCCAACGTTTGGGGCCAGAAACTTGAGCTGAAACGAGATACAGCTCAGCAGGGTTTGCAGAGAGACAAAGGAAAAGGATGGGAACGCGTGTCATGAGCGGGTTAGTTGCCGAGGGCAGGAGTGAATGGGAGAAGCGACACGTGTAAATGGGTTCCACGTGGAACGGCGGCTAGCTGGGAATGCGATGGCTATGTGAATCTGTTGTGGCCGTACGGGGATGATGTAAGGCTTTCAAGTTAAGTAAATGGGGCGGAGACGTGGAGCCTCGTCCCATGGCATCTGGGCCTCCTCTCTGCTTGCTACTCATACTGGTTGGGCTATAGCTGCTCAGCCCAATCCACGACCGCCATTGCCACAACATAATACATACAGCTGCCACTTGAAGTCGCATCCACGAGACGCCGCCGTGTCATCCTGTACAGCCGCCACTGACGTCATTACCTTCTCACAATTAGTCTCCCATACATATATATATTTATATGTGCGCATTAATGTTCACCTTCCACTTGTTCATCGATCTCTTGCGCCGTCTTCTTCATATACAGCTAGTTCGTATGGTCATTATACGGCGTCCAAAAGAAGCAAGAGATGGCATGGCAAGTGCTTTGAGTTGTACTTTCCTGGAATTAGGCATCAAAACCCGGGGAAAATAACAGAAGGAAAACAAGAAATTCCAGCGTCGGCTGCCAATTAAGTGATTTGAGTTTTCTTTTTTTTTTTTGGCGTGAAAAATAACAGCAGGCCATCTCTGAATCTGCAGACACAATTCAGGCCGTGTACGCGAGGGAATTTTGGAAGACAACTATCGCCGACTTAAAGTAACGACCCAATGTTGGAAGCAATTTACCAACTAACCAACGGGCCGGGCTCTGACGATTTTTCGGAGTCGTCAGCAACTCCAATCAGGATAATTGATTTTATCCGGTGGTTTAGTTGGTAATAAATTGGCTCCTAGCTCATAGAATGCTCAAATGCAATACTTAGAATCTAATTCACTTAAATTTTTCTTATACCAAGAGAAAATCAGGCCAGCTAGATCATTAGTTGCTCCCTTTTGTTGACCTAATTGGTCTAATGCTCCCTTAACTCCCTTCATCTTAAGGGGGAGCTTGCTAATTCAACTTTGTGGTTGTGATGAGTGTGTAAATTTCTTCCATTGAGTAAAAAAATTGACAAAAAGGCTTAATTACTCCGTTTCATTTTTTTCAAAACGTTTTACCCATATCCCAGCTTGTGCAATTCAGTATTTCAGTGTATTAGTTGATGATTTGCTCCCCAATTCATGATGGAATTCTTGGCACCAAATCCATCCTGGCTACCAAGTAACTGTATTAAAAGAATGCATCATATACACATCAAAAAAATTTCAAAACCCAAATATAAGTTGACGGGAGACCGTCAGCTAACACGCGACGTGAGAATGATTTGATTTCATTTATTATAAGATGAAATCAATTATATGACACGTACGCTAGCTACATCATCTGAACAGTTGTTGATAATACATTGATTCAATTTCGTGATTACATGTTGTTGTTAGTATTTGCTACATTTTGAAAAGTAACTTGTTTTGCTTGATATGTTTCCTCCAATGCGCAGCAGACAAGTGTTCATATCTGTGTAATTAATAATCATCTTGACACAGTGCTGACACTTTTCTGATTGTATTAGTGACATTAAATTAGTGATAAAAGTAAATGATATATCAGGAGCACAATGATAAAAATATTTAAAAAAATTTCAAATTATACTACAGATACTGATCGCCACCATGATAAAGTAAGTATGAACGGGCATTAACGTAGTAAGTGCACATTATAAAATTCAAGGCATAAATATCAGAACTGCCGGATTCATTACAATACAATACCCACAAGTTTACATACGCTTTCTTAAAACAACACTAATTCACAAACACACGACTATATATAGTGTAGAAGATGCACAAATCCTACACGGCAGCTTAAGATATATAATACAAAAGGGAAGAATATAATAAAAATAAAGTGGTGGTGGAGGAGGAGGACTGAGGATATGAATCTATGTAACTGATATGAGAAGCGTTGAGGGAGACTGTTTAAATGTTAATGGGGGCGTGACTGGGTGTCCAGGTGAGCCACAAGTGTCCTTCTCATCAAGCACCCTTCCTCCGACGCGTCTTCACACTTGTCCTCCCCGACCTGTACGAACCTCTGTCCACAGTCAAATTAAAACAAACACCTACAGTGCATAAATAATCCACACCAATCTCAGTTTAACAAATCAAAAATTAATACTACTTCTTGTTTACAAACAGGGTCTTATAATTAAGACCGGGTAATACAATCTAACCAACCTCCCTGTGTTGCGTTTTGTCATAGAATTCATTAATGTGAAGACCTGGTTCAGGGCGAGTGGCGTGGGCCAGCATGTGACAAAGACACAGGGCAGTGAAGAACAATGCTGTGATCTTGGCCATTCTTGCTTTTGTTTGAAGGCTTGTTGACGCTTTGAGGACATGAGGGAGACCATATGTATACAGAAATAAGATGCCAAATTGAGGTGTCAATTTTGCAAGTACAACAGAAAAGCAACAACTTTGATGAATAAATAGAAGTCATCAGGTGAGGACACGGCAGAAAAATCAGGCAAAACCAAAACGCACCACATAACAAGAAACAAACTCGTAAAATCGTGCGGCCTCGAAAATGGATCTTTCATATTTTTAAAAAACATTCCTCACATTGTTTCTTTTTTGGGTTTGTAAATTGTAAGATGGGGCTAAAGCCCATGGAGACTAAAATAGAAGACGCAACACATAAAGTCATGAATGCATCTGCACAACTTTTTTTAAAAAAATTATTTTCTTTCTGGCCGTATCATTCACATCATGCCTTGTTCTAGATGAATTACGAGCCCCCATCAATGTAATAAGTTTGACGCACTAACCATCTAATATTAAAATCTCGCCGCGAATAAAGTTATCAGCACTATCACTATTCATCGCCTCCGCAACTCTACCGCTTAAACACTATTATTTTCACTTTTTACGTAGCCTTTAAACTCATAAATCCGCACCCGTACACAGGATTGATGCCGAGCATGATTATTAGGAAAAACTATATCTGTAGTTTATGACTTGTATGTATAACAGTGTTTAGTGAATGTTTAAAACAAGGGTATTTTAATAAAATGTTGTGAAATTTTATTATAGTTTAAGTTAACAAGTAATTTTATGGTAAGTGAGACGTTGTTTTAGACAGAGGTTGCAGTTTACATGGGAAGAGAAGTCAATTGTTGAGGAAAGGTAGGATAGCGTAGGCCTAGCGAGAGTAGCCATGGAAGAATGGAGCTGAAGCAATGATAACAGCGTGAGGAATTAATGTAATGTTTCAGAACTTGGAATTATTACAGTTGACGTTTATGCCGGCTCCCCTCTGCCATGGACATGGCAGCCTCCATGCCACTACTTATCCAGCTGCCCTTCTCCCACTCTTTGACATTAGAATATCACCTCTGTTTATTGAAATCCCTTCACTTTATAACAAGACATGACAAGACCAGCAAGCTAGAGCACTACGGCAAAAACGGTTGTTTTATGCTTGCTGGTTTTTTGTCTTCACATATCAGACGGAAATGATCTCTTAACTTTAAACTCAACCGTCAACCAATTCCATCAAAATCACCCTTAATATGTTTGCATCTCTTTTCCAGCCACACAAGTCGTTGATCGCATTTACATTCACTATTAAATGTAGCGCAGGCTGATGGTTTGCATTAAATCCACACTTGTGCCTGCCTCTACAAAGTCCACTCTCACGTACTTTTCCCTCTCTGACTTCGGTTCTTGCTCAAATTTGGGCTTCATATTGCTGAGTAACATTTAATTCCCAGCCATGGTACTTAAGAATTACATTTTTATTCATCACGGCTTCCTCAAGAAAGCCGCTGCTGTCCCACAATTAAATTGGATTATCATGTGCGGAATCATCCTTGAACATTTGAACAAACCATTCCGTCGAGGCTTCCAGTATCAAAATCGTTTTTTCGTTGTTGTGGGCTTATGGCAAGAGCCGTCTTTATTTGTAAATATAACTACAGTCCCATACAAAGTAAGATATATGCAGACACATATGAGCTTATATTGTCAGCTTCATTACAATACTTTATACTAAATAGTAAATACAGAGATGAGAGTTTCGTAATATGACGGGGGGGAACTAAAAGCTTGGGGTCAAAGTCCGGAGGAAACAAGCATTTAACGTATGTAATTACGAATCTTGTTTTGGCATATGCTTCTACTCATAGTATTAGAGAAATTCAAGGCTTGTGCTTCTGGGTGTAGATGTAGTCAAGGTGAGCGGCGAGTGTCCTTCTCATCAAGCATTCATCCTCTGAAACGCCTTCACAAGAGTCCACTACAGCATCATCATGCCCTGCGTCCGCACCCTGTGCACCAGAAAATAAAACTCAGGTAAAAACCCAAACAGAGAATAACAAAAATATAGATATAGGCTAGAGTATCATAATTTAACCAACCAAATGTTGCGTCGTTGCTGAAAGTTCCTCGTTAAAACCTGGGACAGGGCGAGTGGCGTGGGCAAGCATAGAAGAAAGAAGCAGAGCAGTGAAGAACAGGGCAGTGATCTTGGCCATTTTTTTATTCTTTTGGCTTGGGTTAGAAGAGACAGTAAGAAGAGATTGGGATGGAGGGTTTGGAGGCTTGAAGCTACAAGCAGGGATGGAACGAATTTATAGAGGGTTAAGATGACAAATTGAGGTGTGAACGAATTTATCAGCGGGTTTTATTTATTACAGCTGATAATAATGGGAGACCAAAAAGGCAACAATAATACTAAATAAAAATAGGAGGGGAGCATTAATGGAACGGAAAAGTTGTTTTCGTTATTTTATATACTCAATAAAGAATCGCGTGAAGTAATGGGAGAAAAATCGGCCCAATCAAAAGCACAATAACAAGAAGAAGTAAAATGAAAATTAACCGAGAAAGGAGGGGCTTGAAATTCCAGCACTTTTTTGTTATTTATGGGATGGCTTCTGTTTATCTTAGTATGTATTTAGACGTTCGACTGAAACAGAAAAGCGTTTGACATTAACTGTTTAAGAGAAACAAATAGTAAAGAACAAGAAAGGAAACTAATATGACCAGAATAAGAAACAAACTTGGGACGAAGTGCCCATTCCCATTCTCACTGTTCTCGTACGTTGGGGACAAATTTGTTAATTAAACCATGAGCTCCTCATTTATTAGTTGGAATGCTACTTGGACTCCCACTTTAAAAATTTGGATACTGTCTCGAAAGTTGACAGATTTGTGTCGGAAAAGGGTTCAAGGATGGATTGATTTTGTCTTTTTTAACCGTGTTGCACCATACGGCACGATATTAAGCCCAAGGAATTCTTTTCAAAGCGTCACATGCACAGCTTCACAATGATCAAATTGTCATCCTCCGTTTGGAATGCTGTCCGAGTATTCTGAGCTTAGTTGATTTTCAGACCCCGTCTCTTTCTTCCTTGCTGCATTCTAAATATTCTAGAAGGCTATATTCGGCGAGTTTTGCCATCTGACCTGTAAATATAATCCTCCTAAGTGCCAGACAAACCGATAAACCAATGGTATCATCTGAACTGAGCGAGAAAATCAACATGGGATAACTTCACAAACATTCCAAGCAAGATTCCGTTTTCTTCGGATTATGATTTGAGCGTGTATCAACTCACGACGACCACGATCATCTGATGTTATTTTCTCGGAAGACAGAGAGTAAGCTATTATAAAGTGGCTAATGAACAGACACGTGGCTGTTAGAGAGGACGCGAGTGACGTACTAAGGTGAGTTGTCACCCACATGCACCTTTCAAGGCCATGATTATTAACACATGAGCCACCCACGACCCAATTAAGTCTCCGAAATTCAGTGGTGTTAGCATGATTTAATTTCCATGGGCCGCAAAAAGCTTTTAAAAAAAAAAAAATCAAGAGTGGGATGTTGCGCAATCTCATTACAATTAATTACCTGTAATGGCCGAGGGTTGATGGCGGCATCTAGCTAGCTAGCTCCATCAACGATGCATATCCATTTTGCTTCCCTAGATATGTAGTCAATTATGATCGACCAATCCTGCTTGAGCAATAATTCTTTAATCTCTCTTATGGAATTGGCCATTAAGTGACAAGTAGGAGAATTGTTCTGAATGTGTTTTGAAGCTTTGATGGAGTTTATATAAATCTCAAACTTTTCGCGGCATGTAGAGCCAACAAAGCTTAGCTGATGTGACACAACAAGAAAGTCATCAAATTTACTGTAGAACCCCCTGATCAAACTCTTGTTATCATCACAGCCCGATTAAACCTCACAAGTGACTTCGTGTCTCTTCTATAAATAATAGATCCATCGACACCAAGCTTTTTATTATGTTTTGAAATGAGGATATATATTTGAGATTCATTTCATTTCTTTAATAACATGTCTTAATTTTCTTTTTCTTATCTTTTATAGCATCACATGTGCATGTTTAGTTTGATATATAAAAATCGCTAAAATCGTAGTTACGTTCTCGCGCTTCCACCAACATTATGGTGTTAGTAGTTTTTAATGGAAAACTGTATCTGGCACATAAATAAAGTGAACTTAAGACCAAGCTAAGAATTAATGAGGCCACTACAGAAAGTTCAGGAATGGAAAATTTGGTGGATATCCAGTATAATTTTCAACTTTGTTGTGAAGTTTGGGTGGGAGCTAAGGATTTTGAATCCATTCTATGCAAATGGATATGGAAATTGGAGTTAGGTCAAAGAGCACGCACAGCTTTCGGCAAAGACTAATTTAAAGCGCTGTAAAATGGCACACCGAGTACTCTTTTTGACGATAGCTAATATTATTCCGTCACTTTCTAATTAATTACACAAAACTCGTGACAAAACCTCGCCTTATCCCTTTTCAAGGATCAAAAGTTAGACTATTCCAGAAAACGAAGCGGGGAATCTCAGATTATGCAAAACCTATGCAGATGCCGACCAACACAAAATCTTATAAAGCAGAAAAGAATGTCAACATCTTTGAGGCTCGTAATAATTAAAATGTAAGGGATGTTGACCCAGAAGGCGAGTAGAAGGAATTTGTGAAGAGAAGCAAGAAAGAAGAGACATTGTTTGAAGATGAAGGTGACAAAGAAAAGGGAAATCAAACATGTTTGCGGCTTGGGGCTGATGAGGAGGGAGAGGCAGGCTTTAGCTTTATATCCAAAAGTAGATGGTTGAATGAGTCAAAACAGAATTGTTTCAAGTTTGAACATATCCTTCTTTCAGTAGCTTCAGGCAGCGATATTCCCATCGGACAGACTACTTTCTTGTTCCTCATCATTCCTACTTCATCTCTGTCAAAGCTTCACCTGGCAAACAAAGAATTTTATGTTCCTCACATTCCTTTTTTAATTTTGACAATATTTCTTTTTATTAATTTTATTTTTAAAATGAGTATCTGACGTCTACATGCGACCACGCCTCATAAAGAAGATGACTTATTATTAGATCTGGGTTTGTCCTTTCCATTTCATAATTTCTTTCAACGCGCTCACACACAACAAGATCAGCGAATCATTATAAATATTAATTGGCCTTACTCCTTTTTGCTTCATGAAAATCAAAATATGGCAGAAAATAAATTTGAAAAGAATGAAATAATTATGTTTGATAGATACGTGATGAACAGAACTTGGCATTTTGTTTGATTTTTGTGCTTGGTTGGATGCAAATAATACAAGAACGAAAAGAAAGGTGATAAAGCGATTGGTTTGTCCTCCAGTACTTTAAATCTTTAACATGTTAGCATTTATTTCAGAAATAAAATATTCAATTTTAGTTGCGCCTAACTTGTGAAGAAAACTTTAATAATTCAGTTTAATTAAAAAATGTGTTTATATACTCCATTTGTTTCTTATTATAAGATCTAATTTTTTGAATAGGTTTGTCTCTTCTTATAAAATTTTTTTTTGAGTTTGTCTGAATATTTAATACATTATTACCTATTTTATCCCTAGTTTAATGCATTCTCTTTTTTCATTTGACTCACTATTATTCTCTCACATCTACCTATTTATATATAGGGGCATGTTTGGAAAAAAAAAACTACATTTGCTACATATTAATTGCTTTTAACTAATTTTACCTATTTTTTTAAACTACGTACTTTAGTTAAAAAGATCTTATACTAAGGGACGGAGTGGTACATAAAATTCTGTTCAAATAGTTTGGCGAGCAGCTGAGCAAGCAGAGGAAGTTGCTTGATATTCCTTTGTCATCTTCACCAACTCAACTTATCATGTGTGACTACACTATCCAAAACCAAGGGTCATCCACCCTTCGAAAAACAAAAATAATGGAACCGTTAACAAACCCAGCCATGCATACACACTCACACTAGGGCATGTTGAAGCTTTTCCAAGATCAATACTTGCTGCAAAAAAAAACCAAAAGAAAAGATAAAGAAAACAGAAAATAAACAAGAATATACTACCTCTGGTTCTTAATATAAGAGCCAGTTAACTAATTTGAGTAGATTAAAAAAATTAATTAAGTTAGTTATTTGTAATAAATAGATGTTGTCTTTCATAAATTATCATTGCTAATCAAATGTGTAGGTTAGAAGTACCATTATTACAAGAACTATCTTTAAAAAAAGATAAATATAAGAAAAAAATAAAACAGAATCTTATATTTAGGACCAAAATAAAAATTAAATGAGGTCTTATAATTAGGACTGGAAGTAGTATAATTTCTAATATTTGGTTAGTGGAGAGATGGGCCATCAATGTCATTTCTCACATTAACTCACTGAATATTTTATACTTCATAAACAGAGACGACATTGAATCTGGCTCCATGCTAAAAAGATTCCGTGATCCTTTCGGACTTGTAAAGATTTTATTCATAATTTTATTAATTTTCAGCATCTTCTCTGTGCAGTACTGCAGTTGCATATACTCGTGTTTTGGTTGCTTCAGCCACACACAGCAAGCTGCAGGTAGTCAGTCCCTCTATTCTTCAGCATGAAACACATCTGGTGGGCTCCATGGAAGGAAATAATGGCGCATACGGATCGTTGATTGCTTAGATTTACGGCTTCTTTAGAAATTACGTACGAAATGGATTCGAGCAGAGATTTGACTAAGCATGTAAACCCCAACACAAGGGGCTCTGTCGGCGTCGTCCTCGTGCATCAGTCCAATATGAACTGATGATTTGATCGTCAGTTTGCAGAATTCAACTTGAACGTATGGCCGCTCTTGCAAGTGTTTCCTTCAAGTTACCATTATGGTCGGTGGAAAACGCGGCCACTTTTGTCTTCAAGGACAATATGATGACTGACTATTGCATAATTGTGGAAGGAAATTAACTTCGGGTTGCACCAGCTATGGACCCCAAAATGAAAAGACTGCTTCCACACAAATCACAATAGCGAAACAGATTGATCCAAGGAAAGGCCGAATGATATAATAGCAGTACCATTGAATGATTGGGGTTTTTTTTTTTTTTTTGGACAGAATGATTGGGGTTTTGATTGCAAGTTATTGGACGGTAGCTTTTGACGAAGATATAGTCAAAACGAGTACGATGACCTGGCCCGTTCGGGTGTGAGCAGAAGTTTCGGGGCTTCAGAACTATGGAACCACTTTCGGCCTGGTCTCCCAGTTTAAGCTTATCAGATTTAGGGAGTGTTTGGATAGAAACCAAACCATGGTTTCAGAAGTGTTTTTACGGATTACGAAGTAAATATGTGGAGGAGGTTACTTCGTTTTGCGGAAAAGTGCTTCTGAAACCACGGTTTTGGAGCACCCAAACAAGCCTTTAAACTATCTGTATCTTATTTAAACAGATCAAATTTAAAATTTTTAATTAATTATAAAAATGATTAAAAGGTTATTTTTATTTTAAATTCTATACATATTAAAATAATTATTTTGAATAAATAAAAAAAATCAAATTCAGACTATCTAAATAAAATGTAAACAATCTAAATATATGCTTCTAGACGATCTTCATATTAAGGGGTATTTGGGTAAAAACAAAACTATAATTTTAATAACACTTTTACAGCATACGAAGTAAATATATAAAGGGTTTGTCTCCATTTATAAAAAAGTAATTGTTACCCAAACACTGTTTTAAAGTGCAGCTGACAATAATAATATGACATTATAACGTCTGACACAAATTTGGCCCCCGGCGCTGTGAGTAAACCACAGCATCATCATTAGATAAAGTGGTTTTATCTCAATTCTCAAGGCATAATCGTCCCTTTTTACTGTCCGTCTAATTCTCTAAAAAGTAAACAGTCTTTGTGCAGAAATAACTTGAATTCAAATGCTTTGAGATTTTGTTTAGTTTAATTTTTGATATGTTTTTTGGTACAATATTTGATATGTTTTAATTGATTTTTTATGAAGGTCAAAAAAAAATTGAGTTTTTATGCAAGCTTTTTTTTTTTGGCAGGGAGGGTCTGCAAGCTGAATATGTAGGAGTGAGACGGACTTGGTAGCCCACATGTCTTGATAACGGGCTTTTCTTTGGTTTTTGGGGCAAAAAAAAAAACGAGTTTCCGTTTGTGTGGCTACAGATGCAGGCAGCTACCGTTGGAAGGGAGGCTGGCTTGTTTTCTTGCCTGGGGCAAAAGCGGTTGACCATAATTCCTATTCAGCCCTTGCTTCATGCAATAACGCAGAGTACAATACTATTACTAATGCAATCCAAAAGATCACTGGCAAAGAGTTGTCACAACACTAACCCCAAAAGAAACAAATCACTGGGGCTGCTAAGGGTCCAAGACCCTCCGAGTCTATTTGAATGAACGGAACATCCTCAGCTTTCTAGGTTCCTTTTCAGTGATCTTGAATTCCCCAGGTTAAGCGTCCCAGACGCGGGCTTCGTTGCAGCTATTCCTGTTATCGAAAGAGGAAATTAAAGCACGTCCAAAATTCTGCTGCCTGCATAATATGTATATTTCTTTATCCTTATCTACTTGTTCTCATTTAAAATTACACACCAAAATTCATATGCCACATGTGTGAGAATTATTTCTCTTTTTCAATTTCGCTCTTCATTTAGTGTCACGCTATTTTGAAAATTTACTATCTCTATTTAATGTCCTCCGTTTAAAAGAGGTGTATCATTGAAAACAAATAATAATTCAACTTTAAAATTTGAAACAAGACATATATTTATAGATGAAATGAAAATTGAATCAAGACATGTAAATAGGAACGAGGGAAGTATATCGCAAAAATCACAATGAATGAGAGCTTTCAACTTTGTTGCAGTTACCGACTTATTGTAGTTATGGATTTATGGCTTTATAAGCAACGACAATTATAGGACGTAGGAAAGAAGAGTTTTCTGCTTTTTTCACACACACAAAAAAAAAAAAGAGTCGTAATTAATTATTCAGTGTTGAGTCTAATTTTCAAATAACTAGATTCTACATTTATGCCTTACGTAGAACTTGAGATGGATCGCGAACAATTCATGGCATATGAGCAGTGCAATTTTTTTTTTTTTAATAAACTTTATATTACGTACAGATGCTTTGATTAAAGGCAGAACCTAAGGCAATTAAGGTAGGCACGTGGCAATACATATTTCTTCTTTTTCTAAGGTGGAGGATACAAATTAAAGACGGGACAAGGTTGAAGGCAAGGGAGAATGAATATATCTCAAATTGGACAAAAGCAAACATAGTATGTTGACTTGAAAGTCGGAGAGCACTAAAAGAAAGATTGGGAAAGCCATTAGTGATATAGCGTTTTCATTCCGACACCAACAACTGAGCAACACCACAGCACAGTACTCCAATTCATTGGCCAGTTCATGAATACGTACATGCAATTCTACGAGCAACTTCGATTATTACACATGTTCATGTAATGTCATTTCCTCATTGGAATTGCTTGTTCCGGTACCCAACCCCCATATGCCTTGCCTCTTTCTCTTTTTATTAGATTATACATACTTAAAAGCTAAAGCTAAAGCAAATCTCTCACAAATTCTCTTTTTTCCTGGACTTCTTGCTTTTCCCCCTTCTTTACTGCTTTATATCACCAACTCCCCCCCTTCACATGGATTGCTTGCTGAAATTTTCTTCAATTATTGCTCCCTTTGTGTCTTAATTTATGCATATCTTGAAACTTGTTGCCTCCATATTGGCGGCCCCGGCGCTCTCAATCCCTCTCACCCCCTGCTCCATCGCTTTGTTCACTCTCAATCAGGACCAGACACGATCCATTCGCCACTGTTTACCCCAAGGTATGGGCGTTTTCTTAAATGCGCCACCCCCTCCTTTCTTTTACACCTCCCATGCATAATAACTAACTAATATATACTACGTATACCAAAGAATATTCCTGGCTCGCCCTAATTATTTAATTACGTCGTCCACTATTCTATTTGAAATCTGTAAATGAACTTTTTTTTTTCCCTTCTGCAACACCAGAAAAGATATGCAAACGCGTGTATACCTTGATTAATAAATATGCATGCACTGCACTGGCTACGACGATTGGTGTGCCAACAGAAATTAACGATGTGCCTATCAGAACGAATTTGGAAAGGAAACGAACATCACAGGCCCTTTTGCACTGTCCTGTCAATATATAATAATACAGACCGCGGTCTCCCTATTCTTAGACTGCTAAACTATATATATAAATATATATATATATATATATATATATATTCCCCGCGTCTCCTTTATATTCTGACAACCTTTATTCTTCGCCCTCATTCTCTTCCTTTATTATACATATAAATATAAGCATAATGTACTTACCCAGGTTGTATAGTGTGGGATCTGTATATTAAAACTCGTACCCGTCTGACTTTTGATACACTAACAATAATAGTTAATCGTATTGTTTAAGTTAAAAGAAGAGAAGACGCGACGTCTTGTTGTCAAACACCTTATTCTTGTCCATTTTGTACTTCAAATGATGCACTCAGCACGCAGTTTTGTTTCCCATCATAGTGGAGGGGGACTATCAGAATTTCTTGATAAAAAAAAAAGGGAAGAGAAACTGGGGACGTAACTTCTTCTTGGGGAAGAAAAAAAAAAACACAGTGCACGCATGACTTCATATACATATATTTATTTGTTCAAATTTATATAGTAATATGATAAAAAAAGGTTCAGGCACAATCATGTTTTATGTGAGAGGCAGATCAGTACAGTCTCTTGGACATGTTTTTTAATGATAATGATTACTAATTAGTCGAGATACATAGCACTTTCTTAAGCACCGTATGCGTCGCGAGCCTTAAATCCAACTCCCACTGCTTCTTATAAATTAAATAAATAATAACTCCGGAATTATAAAATTGGATAACGGGACCTCTCTCGCCTTTTTTCTTTTTCTCCTTTTAAGCTGGTAATCTTGAATTCATAATATGTGGAGCTATTCTCATTTATTTCTCTCAAATTTGGTGTGTTGTTTTGGTCCCCCTCTTTATTTAAAAACAAACTTTGGTGTGGGCATGCCTGGGCAGTGAGGGCGCTCCACGTCGCAAGCTCACCAGTCATTGGTGCTGGCAGGCCCACCCAATCACACAGGTGACACGTGTACAGTGCGAATGCGAACTGGTCATTTTACTTCACGAGTAAGCATACAGATGCAGTCTCTTTCAGGGGCCCACGCACTCTCGACCCTCACTTCGAAAATAAAGTGAATCCGACCTTGTCCCGCCATGAGTGCTCCCTGACTCAAAAGTGATCCCATGTACTGATGTACATATACGGTCCGGCTCCAACTATACGCTCTGGGACTAGAATACCCCTACTGGATGCCCCTAATTTCCGAGGGGGGGTTCCCTCCCACCTCCATAAATACCGCACACCCCCTCAGCCTTTTCTCCCTTTCTCCCTCCTTCCTTCCACCCACCCTCTATAAGCAGAAATTCTGTCCTGCTGCCATGCTGTCCACTCTCTCACCTTCCCACCCTTTCCTCGGGAACCCCTTCTCCTCCTTTGACGGCGGCCCAGCGCCGTGGGAGTTCCCGGACCTTATCTCTGTCTTCGATCCCATCGACCCCGTCACTAATTCAAGTTCCGGCTCAGACGAACCGGATCAAACCCATGCCAAGAGAAAATCCCCCTCCTCTGATGATCAACAGGACCCTCCAGATTCCGTCACGGAGGACCGAAAGCGGAGACGGATGATATCGAACCGGGAGTCGGCAAGACGTTCGCGCATGCGTAAACAGAGGCATCTAGAGAACTTACGGAACCAGCTGAACCGGTTTAGGGTGGAAAACCGGGACCTGAACAACCGGATGCAGTTCTTGCTTCACCTCACGAACCGCGTACGAACCGAAAACGAATGGCTCCGGTCCGAGCGAATCATGCTCCGGCAAAAACTGTCGACCCTAACTCAGTACTTGATGTTCCAACGACTGCAACCCGTCTCATCATCTGCATGGCCATGCAATACCAGCGTCACGGACAGAATAAACTTTGACCGTATATTATGAGTAACCAAGTAAATAAAGCCATAATTAATCGGCCTCGATTAATTGCACGCCAGCAACTGAATTGCTCCTGGTGAAACCAAAATTGCTAAAGAATTAGATGGTGTGGGTCTTTTAATTTTCCCCTTGGGAAAAGAGTTGTGGTTTTGGAAAATATTGGGTGTTTTCAAAACCCGTTATAAATATATATATTATTATTATTTTGTAAAGTAGTAGTACTGTAGAGCTAGCCTCCAGCGGGTGCTTTAATTATTCAAGTATATATATAACTTCGTTACTGTTATTGTTCTCGATCGAATCGTTTCTTTTACTTGAGATCTAGATCGTTCCCCGATTCTTAAAATTCAGAACTCACATCGTCTGATCTTTCGATTAATTCGCTCGCGAGGAATGAATGAGAATGGCGCGTTATATATATATATATATATATGGTTCGTGGCCATAAGTGCGCTCTAGCTTCCAAAAGCGAAGCGGACAGAAAAGTCCGAAACGTCATTCCTCCACATTAAAAATGCCGTGTTCCATGATACTTCCTCGAGTACTTAATATAAGAGTTAGTTAATTGATACTTAATATAAGAGTTAGTTAATTAATAAAATTTATTAAGTTAGTTATTTATAATAAATAAGTATTTTTTTCTAAAAATATATTTTCTAATCATATATATCAGTTAGAATTACTATTTAATAAAATATTTAACATATGCAATTATTACAATGAAAACTATAAAATATGAATAAATATGAAAGACAAAGTAAACCAGGATCTTATACTACCTCTTGTTCTTAATATAAGAGCTCATTTAACTTTTATTTTGGTCCTAAATATAAGACTCTAATCAATCTTATCCCTCATATTTATCCTTTTTTTAACGTAATTCTTGTAATAATGATAGTTCTAACTAATACACCTAATTAGTGAGGATATTTTAGAAAATATAACATATATTTATTACAAATAACTAACTTAACTAGTTTTCTTAATCTACTCAAATTAGTGAACTAACTTTCGTATTAAGAACCAAATAGACAATATTTAAAATCAAATTAAATATCAAACTAACTCTTATATTAAAGATCGGGAGTAGTATCAACAAAAGAAAAAAAATAAAAGCCATGTTCCGTGGGGACAATACAGTCTTTTTGCTTTCTTGTAGAGTAGTAGATGTCCTTAATAATTGGTGAAAGCTAAATGCCAACTTCATTCACCAAGCAACGGGCAATTTAAAATTTCTATATTAATAACCGAAAATAATATTTAAGAACAAATTAAATATCAAATTAATTCTTATGTTAAAAATGGGCAGTAAGATCAGCAAAAAGAAAAAAAAATAAAAGCCATGTTCCATGGGGACAATACTGTCTTTTTGCTTTCTTGTAGAGTAAATAGATGTCTTTTTTTTGTGGACTCAAGAGTAAATAGATGTCCTCGATGATTGGCGAGAGCTAAATGCCAAGTTCATTCATCAAGCAACTGGCAATTTAAAAGTTTTATTTACGTACGTCCCGGTGTTCTGCCTTTTTGACTTTTCTGTGTCACGTTTATTGTGAAATGCAATTCAATCAAGCAAACACCGAATCTAACTGTTAAGTCTAACTACTAGCTCGGTTTTATAATTTATTGTTTGGAATAATATAAACTTTAATCTTTTAAATTTATCTTTATTTTAGTTTTGATTTTTCAAATTACAAATAATAAGTTTTGATTCCTTAAATTTTTTTTAATTTATAACATTGGTTCTTATAATCTAATAAAAATTTGAACCATTTTATCTTTTTAGGGACCAAAACTTATGATTTAAAATTTGAATGATCAAAAATTAAAATAAGAACAAATTTGAAGGAGTAAATATTATATTAATCCTTATTGTTTTAAGTGAAAAAAAAAAGAGTTGTTATATAATAGGCATTTGGGAATTGGGCTTGGCCTTTTATTGATGAGATATAAAATTTTGATAAAAATTTAGTAATGTTTCATTGAAATTCTAAGACGATATAATTATCTTGAAACAAAATCAAAATTCTAAAGCAACTATTGCTATTTTAAAACCACCAACGGAGTATTATTCTGAATAACAAAGCAACGTTCAGGCTTCAAGTAATGTCTTAATATCCATAAACCTTCATATAACCATTCTTACTCACATTAATTAAAGTGATGTCATCATTTTATTATTTTTTTGCCTGAATTATCAATTTAATTTTAAAGCCGTTCAATTAGTTGACTACTTTTTGTTTTCGGCCAACAATTAGTAGACTACTTGATTCATAAAATAAAGAATCTTCAAGAAATATCTATAAACTATTAATAGATGGAGAATAATACGTCACTTTAGCCGAAAAAAGTACTGAGAAATTAACCTACTCCCTCCCTTTCTTTAAGGTCATTAGCGTTGGATTACGTGCAATTAAGTTGGTAAAGTAGTTAGACTATAATAATAAAGTGTTAAATGACTTAAGCTCCAATTTATTTTTAATTTGTTCAACAACAACGGTCGTAAGTTATAATCAGAGACGTAATCCAAACAATAATAGGTACACATTGCATTGGCCAGGTCCAATGATAGTTATTTATTTCCAACAGTCTTCAAGTTTTAAAATTAAGACCCCAAATTTTGATGAAGTCCCTCGCTCCCTAGCTGCCCCTTATAGTTAAGCAAAACTCGCATTCAGATACAAGGTGTGTTATTTGTTTATCTATGAAGACCGGAGGGTTTTTAATTTCGCAAACCAGCCGTCTGGGAAATTTGTGAACAGATATAGGGGAAATAATTAATGCGGTCAGAATATGTGTGCGTGTATTGATTTACCCACAAGTTCTTTTGGACATAGCTTGATTTCAAATCATTGTGGAATTCATCGTAATTTGGGATGATGAAATTAATATTGTCGTAATGTGCTGCTTACAATTGTATGGCTCAGGCAGATAAATTTTCCTCGGACTTGATCGTCTTCTTTTCGATCTTGATAATTTTCATGCCGATATTAAAAAAGTGTTTACATAAAAATCAAACCATAATTTTAGAAGTGCTTTTATAGTTTACGAAATAAATATATAAAGGAGTTTGTCTCATTTTGTAGAAATGTGCTTCTGAGAAGCACTTTTGAGAGTTGTTAAACACCTCTTAAATTCAATTATTGGGTTGTACTTTTAAAACAGATGGCGAAAGTTACCTGCCTCTTGGACACTGGAATATACTCACCCGGATCTTATTTATAAGCCTTAACTTAAAAAAAAATGTTTCATTTTATAAGTTTTAATTTTGATTTGTTTTAGTATTTAATGTATTTTTTTAAATGTTGCACTTAAATTTTTTTATCACATTTTCCTACATTTTCTTTTTCATATTTTTATTGTTAGAGCATATTTGAAAACATAAATATATTTCTAACTTATTTATTATTTGAAATTTATCATACGCGTGTGAGAAATTAAACAGTATAAAATATTCCAAACAAAGTAGAAGATGGCTACTTTTTAATTTATTACGGAGAAGCGTTACATATTCCGAGAAAATCTAAAGAAGATTTCGATATAATTAAATGAATATGTATGATATGATTAATGATGAGAGCGTGGGGGGAGGCACGAAACACGAGTTAAGACCATATATATTTCCAAGTGCTGGAAAGGCCATCTCCGGATGTCCCTATCCGCCATCAAGGGCTGTTTTGTTTAATTAAAGTAATAATAACAGGAAAATTACGATCGTTTATTTGGGTGGATCACTTTGTGGATTTTAGGTCTGTGAATTAAAATAATGCGCAGTTCAGCTTGTGATGGAAGCAACAAGCTTTGAAGCATGGTGATGGGGTTGATTAATTAATGATATAATTAAACAAAAAGAAATAACGTCGCTTTCCTCATTCAAGGCGGGATTATCCGTTCTGAACTGAATTTCTATTCTCAAATCAAAACCAAAGAGAAAGAAGGAACTGAGGAAAGCTTTTATACCTCAAATGATATGAAGTAGCTTCATCGTTACGCCTTGCTAATTCCTTATTATTGTTTCTTATTTATGTCCTCCTTCATTCCTGGATCTTCCTTTCAAGATGATTCTCGTCAATCCCATAATATTCTCTCCAATAAAGTCAACACAGAGCAGCGCAGCCAGCAAAACGAAGATATCATTATATTATTATCTTCTTCTACTCTCATAGGAGTATAAAGTTATTGCACCATAATCCTAATTCATCTTATTCATCTTAATCTAATCCACTCATCAAGCCTAATTAATCATTCATCCCATGTTTATCTCTCCTTTGTCATTCTGATTAATCCATCTCGCCAATTAATTTTTATATTTCAATGCTTCTTATCCTCTCAATTATTTTATGTGCCCTTTCAATTGTATATGCGCCATAGCAAATCCCTGTTCCGGCCCTAGTCTCAATGGTATGATGTTGCACGTGAAAGGTGAATTCAATCTAAAGATTAATTTGACTAGTTGCTTTACTATTGAACGGAACAGTGACTAATGAGTACCTCACTATCCGCCGCTCGGTGAAAAACTTTCTTAGAATATATATTTTTTTAACTTTTTAATTACTAAAGTCTGTTAATTGCCAATTTCTTGACTTTCCATACAAAGAGTTTTTCTTTTTCCTTCCGCTGTGAGTAATTTCTCATGTCATGTTAAAAAATATATTGAGGTCCATTTCATGACATAGTAATTAATTCAAAATTTTCTATATAATATGGTTAGGTTTGTTTAATATGAGTGTCCAAGGAGATTAGAACTCGCATAGAAGCAGGTAATGGAAGTGTACTGTGTCGTCAATTGTGAAACTAATTGAATTTGGAATCAAACATCCCTTTCCTACTCAGCTTCCTCGCAGCTCCCTTTCTCTTAGCTCGTAACACCCTTTCGATTAATCGATAAAGAGGTGGTGGGTCATGCCTAGCTAGAAAATAAGAACAAGCTCAGAATGTTGATAAATCACATCATGACGGTGATGTTTTCAATCATCAAATTCATTAACCTACGTCTCCATGTGTGCCTCTCCTCATTCAATTTTCTTTGTGACACAAAACAGTGTGCTTGTAAGCTATTCAGTAGACCAAAGTCTTGTATACGACAACGTTGGCAAAACATGCCATGTGTTTCCTCTGGCTGTGAATTATCTTTTGGAGAACAGTAGATTCGCATAACGTTCACTCCCTCCCTTGTTTCTCTCGGGATCCATCCATTCAATGGAATGATAAAATGGCAGTAATATTTCGATTCTCAATGTAAGATCTAATTAACTAATTATAATATATTAAATATGTTAGTTAAATTAGTTAATATG